TGTTCTTCGTGTCGTTTAATATTTTTAGGACCACATTCAGGATGCCTAGAAGTTTGAGTTAGTTATTACTTTAGACAGACAGACAGACAGTATGTATGATATGGCAAATCCTCTTGCTGAGCAAGGTGGTCTGGTGTACTGAGTGTACATCAGTTTGAATGATTCCAGTCAACACCAGTTGCGTGCTGTGGTGTTAACACACTGTTCTATCACTCATGTTTTGTGTGAGGAATCATGTTTACTCAGAATTTATAACTGTTTATAGTAGCAGTAAAATAAGTTTCAATAACAACTGAATCGTTTTAAAATGGGTAGCACAAGGAGTAACCTGCATGTGGACCTTAGGATGAAAGGTCAGCATATTATTTATTTGCTTCTCAAACATCGAGTGCAGTGTCCTGCATTGGCTGTGAGTTTTGTCACGCAAAGAGACGTACAACAGGACTGTCTACAGATTGTGCTCCATCCCCCACTGACGAACAAATCTGCTGTTTCCATTCTTCTGCAGAGGATAACATTGCAGTAACTCCATTGTCTAATTCTACAGATAACGCAATAACACTCACTTACCGCTAGTATCATTAAGTGTCAATAATGCATTATTATTTTCCAGACTATTATCCTGGTGGAGACTTGTACCATTTGCTGCGTTACTGGGGCAAGTTTACAGAGACTGCAGCAAGACTATACCTAGCGGAGATCATCAGGTATTCAGACATCACTTCACTTGTCTGCATTAAACTACTTAAGTGAATGTGGGTCTATAACTTTTTTATTCTATTCAATGTCATTTTTATTTTCTGTGGTAAACAACAATAACAGTATATATGACATCTTAGTTAAAGCGCTATAAGGCAGAAATGCAAATTAGTAGTACTACAACTTACGGCCACATTAACCTTTATCTTACTAGCGTTCCTTGTCTGGGACATAAGTTGTGTACTCGGTCCTATGAACGTTCCTTGTGCGTAACTCAAAACTTGCAACACTGTAAGTAGACTTGGTTACGTCTTTTGGCCTCTTTTAGGGGCTGCAAATATTGAATCACTTTCTCTAGGGTTCTGGCAAATTCTCCCTGAGCTGTCAACCCGGGAACTATAACCGTAAACAGGAATAAACATTGTTATTGTCAAGTGGGTTTGGGCTTCATTTTCAGACCCCCTATTCAAAGTTTCTCTCATTCTTCCTCATGATGGGTGAAAAGAATGTGTATCCACTGAAGAAGGAGAGACAAATTTTTCTGTGTGGTCATTAGTTCACAACCATGGCTTCTATGATGTCGAATGAGCTTCCAAAGAAGAAAGTAAAGTTACTAAGGCCTATTTAGGCAATTAAGATATTAACTGCATTTTTAAAAAACTCTATGTATTCTCTGTTCTATTCGAATAAATATGGGTTTTATTTTGTCAATTTATCATGTTTACTTTAGATAATATTAAAGTTAGCCGTGTTGCGTGCACAAAAGTTAAAAACCTGCAGAAAAAAAAAACCTTTAGGGCTGCTTCCATTTTGCCATTTAAATCCCCGTCTGGTAAAGGTTGAAAAGCAGAATATCATACTGTGCAAATAACTCGTTAATTTCTTCCTTTCAGATCGGTGTCATACACCGTGACTTGAAACCAGAAAATATACTGTTTGATGCACGCTGCCACATCGCAGTCTCTGATTATGGGCTGTGTAAAATCTTCAACTGCCACACAAAGGTAAAGTTAAATCCATCTTATCTTTTGATGGGTTTACTTACAGGGTCACATAGGCTACATGGACCACTGAGTGTGGATAGTTTACAGGAGGACAAAATCTTTATGTAGCGATTCTTAATGGAAAAAGTGTAAACAAATGTAACAAGGTCTTTCAATTTGAGGGGATGAACTCAGAACTAATACTTATAGCTCTATTAGAAACAAATTCAATCTTATATTTTGAGAATGGTCAATAAAAGAGTCGTAAACAAAATACTCGCTAAATTCGTACTTGGGGCTCATTGAAGCTAAATACTGATTATATTTTATAGTTAACACTTAAATTATGAAGCAAAATGACGTTCGATTTGCATCACGGTTGAATAACTCGTAGATATTTCGTTCCAATTAATCTATATTTGAATGATATGACGTCTTCAAACAAGCATCGGACCTTAAGTCTGACAGTGAATATCATTACTACGTGGTTCTGCGATATTCTCCGAAGAACTACGAGATCCCTGCACGCAAATGAACGAAGTTCCAGATTTGTGCGTTTCTCTATCTGAAATCGCTAAAAAATGACATCAAATATGGGATTGTTACGTTGTGAACCATATTGAAACTTATATGACTTAACTTATATGACTCAAAAAACTTTTTTATGAAGACTGGAGACGTACCACTTTAGGTTTAGAAACCAGTTCATTCTTAAATTTAGAGGATTGTCGGTAATGCAGATGTGAACAAATTATTCGCTAAATACGTTCATGGGCCCATTGAAGCTAAGTACTGATTGTATTTTATGAAGGAACATGTCGTTCGATTTGCATCACGGTTCTATAACTCGTAGCTAAGAGTGTTTCATATAATCAATATTTGGATGACATGACGTCTTCAAACAACCATCAGACCGTAAGTCTGACATTGAATATCAATACGTCTGCTGCTTCCAAACACATAGAGCTGCTGCGATATTCTCCGACGAACTACGAGGTCGCTGCACGCTAACGAACAAAGTTCCCAATTTGTGCATTTCACGTTCTGAAAAAGCGAAAAATGAGAACTCCAAATTTCAACTCGTAACTTTGTGAATTTTAATCGGGCCTTAGAGAAACTTAAAAATATTCATCATATGACTCTGAAAAACGTTTTTATCAAGACTGGAAACGTGCCAATTTAACTTTAGAAACCGGGTCATTTTTATATTTTGAAGCTGTTCGGTAATGTAGCCGCGAACAGAAACATTCGCTAAATACACTTGGAGCACACTGATGCTAAATAGTGATTGTATTTATCTTTAACACGGAAATTAAAAAGGAAAATGACGTTTCAGTTACATCACGGTTATATAACTCGTAGTTAAGTGTACTTCAAATTATCAATATTTGTATGACATGACGTCTTCAAACAAACATCGGACCGTAAATCTGACATTGAATATGAATACGTCTGCTGAATTCACATACATAGAGCTGCTGCGATATTCTCCGACGACCTATGAAGTCACTGCATCACGGTTGAATAACTCATAGTTAAGTGTGTTTCAGATAATCAAAATTGTATGATATGACGTCTTCAGTCTGTCAGTGTATATCAAAACGTTTGCTGAATTCACACACATATGTGCTTCTGCGATATTCTCCGACGAACTACGAGATCGCTGCACGCAAATGAACGAAGTTCCAGATTTGTGCCTTTCACGATCTGAAAACGCGAAAAATAACAACTGCAAATTTCAGTCTGTAACTTGTAACCGTCCTTTTTTGTTCCACCAGACGTCACACTTCTTGTTTAGTATAGTCATAGACTGGCTCTCATATGGTTACAGCTTCTTGAGGTGGGTAGGTGTAAAGATACAGAAAGGGATTGTTGTTGATGGTGAGGTTGTCGGTGAGCCCGAGTTTCTGACTCCCCGGGAATATACGGGAATTAGAAGGTGGAGCAAGTTTTCTGCACAAATGGATAACAAAGTTTTTCTGTGTTGCACTGATGGATGACACTTTAATGTA